TGTGTGTGTGCTGCAAAGAGACTGAAAGTTGCTGAAATAAAGAATTTTAATAATAGTGCATCATGGGGTTTGACTTTAAATAAATGCCATCAGTTTAGAGTATTAGAGAATAAAGAGTTGAATATAGGTAGAGAGATGTGTTGTATGAAACTGGGGCTTCAAAAGAGATGAAGCACCCTGTCCTACCCTATCCTCCTCCCTCCAATCCCTGAGTTGTATGACTAGAAGATTTTTATTTCATCACATGACCGAGTATAAGCCCACAGGCAACACACGGACTTAGTAAAAAAGCAGAATACACTTTTCATGTTTAAGAATATTATAGAAGGAAAAAAATAAGCAACACGGGTCTTCTGGCAAGGGTGAACCTGTGGGTCTTGACCTCTGTGGGGTTCGAACAACCCTTTCACAGGGGTCACCTAAGACCATCAGAAAACACATATTACATATTGTTTTGTGATTTATCACTATGCTTTAATTATGTTCAATTTGTAACAATGAAAATACATCCTGCACATCAGATATTTACATTAAAATTTATAGCAGTAGCAAAATTACAGTTCTGAAGTAGCAACGAAAATAATTTTATGGTTGGTGGTCATCACAGCAGGAGGAACTGTATGAAAGGAAGTTGAGAGCCATGGGTGCAGGCCAAGCTAGCAAAGAGACACCTCAAAGGATAGAGGGTTAGTCCTTTCTCATAATGGTCTAGAGAGCGAATGGTCCAGGTTGGGAAAGCAGTTCTGAGGGATCCAAGTGCCTTCTGATTTGGTGCTGTGCAGTCATGGAGCAAGCACAGTGCCAGCCGAGTGTGGATCAGACCAGTGCTGGTCTGAGAACTATGTCTTATCAGTCACTAAAGAGATGCCTGCTGACATTAAGAGTGTGTATCTGTGGATGCTGAGAAGAAAGATTCTGGACTTAATGAAGATCTTGGCCTCAGGTTTGAATGGGGCTTTTCACCAACCAACAATATGCAGGTGATACAAACTTACTTGTGGAGTTTGATTCCTATAGTTTGGACATGCTTACCAGGAAGAGCCAGTCCATGGAAAAGTACGTTGTGCTTGGTAAAGGAGAAGGTCATTGAAAAGAAGATCTTCAATGAGATCGATTTAGAGGCTGCGGCAAGGGGCTCCTACCTAAAACCGATTGTGAGGATGGCGCAGGACCGGGCGGGGTCTCGCTCTGGGGTACACGAAGTTGCTATGAGCGGGAACGGGCTTGAAGGCACTGAGCACAAACATACTAATGATTGTCTTCTTGCTCTCGTTATGCATTTTTGGGAGGGTTCATGCTGGGCCCCGGAACTCAGGGCAGGGATTGAGACATGGCAGGGTATAAAGGTTATTTGTCAAATAAATGGTCCTCCTCATGTTAAAAAAAAAAAAGGAGTGTTTATCTGATCTCATTTTAGACTGACAACAGTTTACAGGTTTGCAGACAAGTGTACTTATTCTGTTGCTGACCTACCACGAGTTTTCAGATTGCCAGTTCCAGAGTCTCCGACAAGAGGAGAAGAAGGTACCCAAAGTCTTGGTGCTGCTCCCCTGGGTGCCTCTGGCACCATACCCGATGCCTCTGGTGCCAGCCTCTGCCACTTCAGACCGAGATCTGGAACGCGCTCTTCCTACTGTCCTGAGCAGATGCTCTCCATCTAAGGGGACTCTCAGACGCAGAGGAATGGCTTTCACACAGGTGTCGTTTTTGTCCTTTAGCTGAATGTGCCAAGGAAGATGAAGGATGATGCGGAGGTTTTACGGGCTTATTTCATTCCCAGAGAAATGCTGGGAAAAGAGAATCACACGTCCAGGCAAAGTTCCTGGACTAGGGATATAAGGAAATGCAATGCACTTCAGGTAAAATACAAAAAAGTAATGATACATATCTAGCTTCTGTCTTCTTTGAGCAAAACATTGCAATCTTACCGAATTTTGAAAAGACATAAAGAACTATGAATCCATAATTGCATATCCAATCAAGTTAACTTTTTAATAGTTAAAGGTATCAAACAGTCTTGGGTTTGATCTATCCTACAAATACATGGGGATAATGAGTCAGGCTTTTTAGATATGGTGGTAAATGAGACAAGTGTGCATAAACCAAGAAAATAGATTAACTATGTACCTTTCTTGAACATTTGTATTTCAAGACATTCTCTAAACTAAAGAAAAATAAATGGATACAGTTAATAACATAATAGTATAAAAATGAGAGTTAAAGCCAGTGAAAATATGAAATATATAAACTAAATGACTCTGAATATGGATTAAAAACTTGATGTAAATTTCTTTTTTCAAAATAAAAATGTCAAATGAACAATAGTATTGTGTCACAAATGACCTGAATTTTTAAACTCCACATTATTTTTAACGAAGACCATGGCAAGAGGCTAGTACAGAAGAAAATAACACAGAGGGAGGAAAAGTGCTAAATAAAGAAATTAAGAAGATATTTTTTTCATGTATAAGAAAAACAAAGCTAGGTTAAAATTTCTTTAGAAAAGATGACAAGTAATACTTACCTGGCAGGGGAGCTACCATGATCACGAAGGTGGTTTTCCCAGGGCGAGGCTCACCCATTGCACTCTGGGTGTGCTGACCCCTGTGATTTCCCAAACGTGGGAAACTCCACTGCGTAATTTGTGGCAGTGGGGGAACTGCATTTGCGCTCTCCCCTGTAAAAAAAAAAAAAAGATTTCAAGTAGACATTTGTATAATTAAAATAAGGCATCTTTAAAATCATATAGTAACACAAAACAGTAGATGATCATATCTATCAGTCTTAACTAAATGTACTCATGGATAAATTTATATTATTAAACTACAGTCTGACATTAGATCAGAAATCAAAATTGAATCATTTATTTAGAAGGAACACACTTAGAACAACTTGGAAGTTTGAAAACAGATCCACTGGCATCAAGTAGATTCTGACTCATAGCGGCACTATATGGAGGTTCTGAGACTGTAAATCTTCATAGAGACAAAGAACCTCGTCTTTCTCCAATAAAGAGGCTGGTAGGTTTGAACCATTGACCTTGGTGTTAGTTAGATATTTTAAATGCAGCAAGAAATAAAACATTATAATAAATTAATACTGAATCAAAATTCAAGGAGAAACATTACATGTCACAAATCATTATTTTTGATACTTAGTAAAGATGTAACTATCATAAATTTATTCTTGTTAAATACTGTGTCATTTAACTAGATCAGGCAAATGTTATAAGTACAAATAAAATTGAATGAACACACACTGAAATCTTTTCTTTTTAGACCAAACCTAGAAAAGTGAAGTAAGGGATAATTAAAATATTAAACAACAAAAAATTATACTTAAAAAAAACACACATTTTTTTCTTGGACAAAAGGTCAACTTATGGGTTGAAAAAAAAAGGAGGTCCTCCCAGGAATAAAAGCTGATTGTATTATAAGCCACTGAGGGGAAGAACCCAATATAGATAGCCACATGTCATGTGGCAGACCCCGAGCTCAGGACACCATCCTTCATAAGCATTAGTTCACACCCAAAACGAACTCACGACCCCAATGGCCCTAAATCCTTGAGAAACATGTGAACCTTAAATGAGGAGCATGGAGCTGATCAAGCACAAAAACTCTAAAAAAATAATACAGGAATAAACCAATCAGTAATGGAGTTGTAAAAATATAAAGGCACAAAGAAATTATAAGAGAGAATATTGTTAGGTGCCACCCAGTCTGTTCTAACTCACAGGAACCCTCTGTTCATATGTTTGAACATCATTGTTGCAGCCACTGTGTCGATCTCTCTTGCTGAGAGCATTCCTCCTTTTCATTGCCCCTTTCCCTCACCGAGCAGGAAGTCCTTTTCTTGGGTCTGCTCTTTTCTGATATCAGGCCCAAAGCACATGATACGAAGTCTCATCATCCATGTGTGGTCTAAAGATCTTTTAGATTGCACTTTTTCCAAAAAAAATTTCCAAGAAAAATTTGTTTGTTCTTTTGACGGTCTATGATGTTATCAATATTCTTTACCAGCACCATCATTCAAATGCATTGATTCTTATTCAGTATTCCTTATTTAATGTCCAACTTTCTCATGCCTGGAAGGCAATGGAAAATGGTTTGGGTCACTGATATTTCAGTGTTTTTTTAATATGTAAAGTAATAATTTAATAATATTTACCCTTTTTAATAATTAAATCATTTTATTGGGGGCTCATACAACTCTTATCACAATCCACACATACATCATCAAGCACTTTTGTACATTTGTTGCCGTCATCATTCTCAAAACATTTGCTTTCTACTTGAGCCCTTGGTATCATTTCCCCCCCTCCATTCCCAATCCCCCCACCCCAATGAACCCTTGATAATTTATGAATTATTATTATTTTGTCATATCTTACACCATCCAACGTCTCCATTCACCCACTTTTCTGCTGTCCGTCCCCCAGGGAGGAGGTTATATGTAGATCCTTCTAATTTGTTCCCCTTTCTCGCTCACCTTCCCTCCACCCTCCTGGTATCACCACTCTCACCACTCATCCTGAGAGGTTCGAGATTCCCTGTGTTTCCAAAACTTTAAAGAGGTCTTGTGCAGCACGTTTTCCCAGTACAATGAGTCTTTTGATCTCTTGACTGCTGTTTCCATGAGCGTTGATTGTGGATCCAAGTAAGATGAACTCCATGACGACTTTGGTCTTTTTCCATTAATCATGAAGTTACCCATTGGGCCAGTTGTGAAGATTTTCATTCACTTTATGTTGGGCTGCAATCCATATGGAAGTCTTTGACCTTCATCCATAAAGTGCTCCCGGTTGTCTTCACTTCAGCAAGCAAGGTTGTATCAAGTGCATGTATCGGGTTGTTAATAACCCTTCCTCCAATTCTGAACCGTGTTCTTCTTCATATAATGCAGCATCTCTGATTACTTGCTAAGCACACAGATTGAATAAATATGGTGAGAAGATAAAACCCTGATGCACACCTTTCCTGGTTATAAATCATGCCATATTTCCTGTTCTGTATGCACAACTGCATCTTGATTCATGTACAGTTTCAACGTGGAAATGTTCTGAAATACCTATTCTTCTCAAGACTCCCCATAGTTTATTATGATCCACACAGTTGAATCCCATAACTAATAAAACAGAAATAAACATCTTTTTGATCATCTTTGCTTTGAGTCAAGATCCATATGACATCAGCAATGTTATCCCTTGTTCCATGTCCTCTTCTGAATACAGCCTGAATCCCTCTTGTCCGTGCACTGTTAAATTTTACTTGCATGTAAGATTAATGATATTGTTCCATACTGTTCACAGTCTATTGGATCCCCTTTCTTTTGACCAGATACATACGTATATGGATCTATTCCTGTGAGTTGGCCAACTAGCCTTCCAAATGTCTTAGCATAGACCATGCTAGACAGTTCTAGCACTTTGTCAGCTTGTTGAAGCATTTCAATTAATGGAGCCAGGAGTTTGGCTAATGCCTCAGTGCAGTTTGATCATCTTCCTTCAGGACCAGTGG